GAAAACATATTTTTCCATGAGTAGTGGTTGATTTAAAAAGTCCTCATGCAAACACCCCCACCTTTTGGCAAAAGCTCATATATAACTAATAATTGATATAAAACATTCTTTTTTATCTTTTTTTAGCAGAAAGGAGAAAAAAACAAAAAGCCAAGATGGACAAGAAACGTTTTCAAGGAACAAAGAAGCCCTCAAAGTCAAAGTATGCTGGCGCTGGCCGTGGTATACTGAATTCCCATCTGGCGGGAGAAGATGCTTCAGTAGCAGCGGCAAATTCCTGGGCTGCTGGAATATGGAAGGGAAAAGCGAACAGTAGGCCAGAACTCTCAAATGATGCCCTGGAGAGGCTGCTATCAGAACTACAGAGTATCTGGTTGGACGACAGGATCGGAAACAAGAAAGCTAAGTCTGAGGCTGTCTATACCCGACTGGGAGTTGCCTTAAAATCTGAGTCAAATCCCTGGGAAGCAGCTTTGTCCCTTTTCACAGCTGCGGAGGACTACCCACTGGCAAAGACATCCACTCTGTCATTTCAGATTTTGAATGAATTTCAAAAGTGGGTCCTTTCAAGTGAAAATGTGCACTTTGAGCGGAAATCAGAATTTTTGACTGAAGACCTACGTACCAGAGTATTTTATGCCACAACGGGGAAGCACATTTCTTTCTTCAATGTGGCTGTGAAGGCCTATTCACTTGATCACCGAGGAAATGAATATTTTCTGCCCATGGCCAAAGCTTTTCTTCTTCGAGACAAGTTGACAGAGGTGAGATCGCTGAAAACATTTTATTTGATTGAAAAAAGGTTGTGTTACAAATTGATGATGTGACAATTTTACTCTTTGAATTTTTATTTTAATTTTATGTACCCTGCAGTGAGGTGGCAAAATCTGTAAAAACTTTCTGGGAGAAGTAATTTGGTGTCTGTGCCTTCCCAAGATTTTTGTTTTGGATTAAAATAAATTATGTTTATTCAAATCACTTTTACACTTCTTCACAGTGGTAAAAATTATGCCTGTAAAGGATGTTTTTTTCTTATCACTCTTTGGTACCATGCATATTTCTATGTAACAGCTGCCAAGCTAATTTAATTAATGCATGCCAAATACTCCCACCTATCATCTTATGAAGTTAAATCTGTTTATTGATGTTATTGCTCTGTCTGCTTATATTTGAGACCTTTTCTTTCTATTTAATTTGTTAATATACATGGTTGTCCCTTATAGCTATCATTATTTGTGACACGACGTGGTGGAATCAGGTGCTCGTCAATTTTTGGGCATGGTATTTGTGTCATCATTTGCCTTTCTTTTTATGTAAAAAATATCCATCTATGTTAATTAAAATGGAAATAGAAATATTTTCGATTGAAGTAGGTGGTGGTCGCCTGGTTTCAGAGGTAAAATTAGTGAGAACTTGGCTGCCAAAGTTTGGTAATTTCCATCGCCTGAGAGTCCATGGAAACTGAGAATCTACATGTTTTGTGCCTTTAATCAATGTTTTTCCTATAAAATCCACTTAAAAATGTGTGTTTTAATTAATGGACATAAAAGGTGTTGAGCCAAAAAAAGAAAATTAGAAAAAAATTGTCCATTTGCCAAAAAAAATACAGATTTCTTGAAACCAATTTCAACAAAGCTTTAAACAAGTTTAATTCAACCAAGGGACATCAAACTTAACAGACAATATGAGGTCCTGTGTGCAAGTTGTGCATGCTAAAGATCCCTTGGTGGTCCTAGAATCAATAAGAGTAGGCTTTGGCTACCTACCTGGCAAAATTCAAAATCAATTCCAACTACAGTAGTCTCCGCCTAGGATCCCGGTGCTCGGGAGCAAGGAAACGCGGGATCTTAGGCGAACCGGGATCTTAACCGACGAACCCAGGAAAAAATCTATGGTGACCCATGTTAAGGCTCACAATCGGTAAAATGGTCTCCCTCCACTCTACAATGAGCTGGCATGCCCCCTTGGTGGGTTTATGGCATATGGCGAGCAAAGAGTGGTTACCCTTGATGACCTATCACGGTGCATAGTGGCATGAGGCGAGCCATTTTCACTTATTATCCTATCATGAGTCTCAGGATCTACAATTATCCAGTTGCCTCTCCTCTTTACCTGTCAAAAATTTATAGCTTTCCGTCTCTGACCGAGGCCCCCCCCCCTCCAAACCGCCTTTGTCATACACACCATTACGTTGTGAACGCACCAATTAAAATTCAGTCTCTCTCGCAAATTCGGGAGTAGAGACAACTGCTGCAATGGTCAAGGAGGAGTTCACGGTTAGATGTGATCCCGCCAGGAGCGAACTTGTAGGCCCTACCCACCCAGCGAGTGATGCAAGCTTAGGTGGCGAGCTCAGGTGTGAGTGCGATGCGTGGGGAAAACAAACGCGTCGGTCAGTTCACACCCCGGTGTGATCCCGTCTGGGGCAAACATTGTATCGCTTCATCGAGTTTTACAACATGTATGTGATCACATTCACGATAGTGGCTGATCTTGGACGCGACGGACAGTTTATTGATCTCAACTTTTTACTCTTGGTTGATCGGCTGTGCCCACCCGTAAAAAAAAAAAGAAGTAAATTATGATCTAAAATGCGGGATCTTAGCCGAATGTAGACCATCAGAGCGGGATCTTAGGGGTGACTTTTGTATAGTAAAAATTCTGTTTTCCTAAAACAACGGGATCTTAAGCGAACCGGGATCGTAAGCGGTGGGATCTTAGGCAGAGACTACTGTATATTATCAAAACTGAAAATATGCTAGTTTGTGTAAAAACATATAGAAGGCCTTTGAAACTGGAATGTGGCTGCGGAAGTACTCCCTTGGTAGAATTGTATTTTTTTGTGCGAAGTTTAGTTTTGTTGAAATTGGTGTAACGATGATTGAGTTACCCTGGTATTGCCCTTTAAATAGGTCCTCTCTCTATAGCTTGTTCACTTTCATCTGTCCTCGTTAAAACATTCTATGTTACGGAACACAACACTACCACATTAAAAAAAAACAACACTTCGAAATAACAAATGTGAAACTCTTACCGTAGGTGCTTGATACTTTAATTTTCAATGTAAGTGTAGTGAGTAGATTTCCTGCAAAGTGGGTAGACTTTGGCTCTGTCCCTTCCTCTTCTCTTTCTGTCGTCCGTCTGTCCCTCCCCAAACCGTGAGTGACCGATTATATATATATATAAGCCCCAGCACTTGATCCGCGTGCACCGCACGAGACCCCTGTGCCCCGAGTAAATCTCGATAACTGGTAAAAAGTGGCCAAGTATCCACAACATTCTAGCTCATTTATTGATCTATTTTTTAAAAACCGCACCCAGATATAATATAAGTCAATGTTCTATAGACACCATGCTTATTGTGACAAAAAATTCATCAGATAACTTATACTGTGAGTAATTATTTTATTGTGTTGCTATGATTCTTACTTCCCAGGCTGCACAAGTGATCAGTAAGCTTAGGCTACAGTCACACTTCAAACAAGAGGAGGTATGATATTCCTGATTATAAATACTTAATTACTTTTTACTTTTTCATCCTTTGTTGCTGTTAAGTGTCGAGGGTAGATGCAGTTTCTTATGGCAGGCCAGGTCTGCAGCTATTTCAATTGGGATATTATAATTTCTAAAGGTTTCCTTAACTCAATGCACACGTCTTTTGATTTTTAATCCTGGTTGTTGATAATGATCATTATTATGTGGATATGTTTCTGAGTACTCGAATGAAAGGACATACGTGGCGTCGGTGGCCTCGTGGTCAGGCTACTGGACTCGTAATCGTGAGGTTGCAGGTTCAGGGATTTAAGCCGCGGGGCCGACGTTGTGTCCTTGGGAAAGGCACTTTACACAAATTTTCCTCACTTCTCCCAGGTGGGAATGGGTACCAGGCCATAGACAGCGAAAAGTCTTGTCAGTATGTTAGTGTTTTAGCGCCTATAAATGGCTGTTTGCACTATATGCTTCTCAGGAAGTTGAGGTTGTTTCAGAATGCTCTCAAGTCTGCTGGGGTAATAGTGTAGATTGTGAAGGGCATACAGCTTGCTGTTGAATGGGGAATGTGCTATACAGTTCCATCTATTATTATTTTTGATATATACAACTGCCGTTCTTATTTTCATCCCTTCTGTTGTTTCTGTCTGTCTCTCTTACTTTTCCCTGCACTAAATTACTAGTATCCCTTTGATGTGTTTTTCTGTGCTCAAACAAATATATATAAAACTAGCTGGACACCCATCCGATGAACGGACTCAAAGAATTGATCGTCAAGTCATTGTGGGATCAGTGCGCACTGTTTGTGAACGGAAGCCTCACTTGTTTACAACGGCGTCTTAGACTTTCCCATAATTAGATACGCTGAAACTTAAACTACAGTGACTTCAGACCCCTTAATATAACTGTGCGCCCTTTAAATGATTGTGATTGTTCATTCATTAGTCTTTTTTTCAGGAAGCAACATCCTTGCACTCCGGACATGTCCATTAATGCTCCGTTGCTCCCTCCAAAATGCCGCAGAGGGTCTTTCCGCTGATTGTGAACCACCTTTAAGTTTTTTAAAATTTGAAAGTTAAGTGGTTCGTAATTTTTAGGCGACCGGAGTGACAAACTTTCACAAATGTAATAGATTATCGTAATTCTAGGAGGTAGGAGTAATTGTAAAATCTCTGTAATTTGACGATCTTCCACCAGGTCCTGATGCCGTTGCTGTTCTCTGACAAAGTCAACATCATAGAATCGTACGTGAGCGGCAACCCTGAGCAGCAGCGAGCCGTCCTGTCACTGTTGGATTACCTGTGTGCCCGCTCCACTGACATTCTGTCCTACGCCCAGTGAGTCATACATGTACAACTGGCTTCGAATGAGCTGAACTTGCTCGACATTATTTTCTTTTCAGTGTTTATTTTGAAAAAAAAATTAGATTTTAGTTTTTGACGGTATTTCAATGGGTTCCGGGACAAATGGACTGACGCCAGAATTTTCTAAAAACGTTTTTTTTTTACTATGGTGTAAAACAGTGTCTGAAATATCATCCTAATAAATGATGTAAAGATTCAGCAAACAAACGTGCATCATACATCGACATGAAATTTGAATTAAAGCGGTCTTTGATAGTAGTATAATTGAACGTTGTTTGTGTCTCCTGTTAAAGAGCCTTCCTGGGACTTGTGGTGTCATTATCTAAGTGTTTGCCTTTTGATATGTTGTTTTTGATATTGAAAAGCTTTTCAGCAATCATTTTTGTTTTGTGTCATCTTTTTTATAATTTTGTATTTTTTAAAACTTCAGGTCAGCAGGTATGAAGAACATCAAAGGTGAAAAACTGAGCAAGAAAGTGTTGAGCAAGTTTGCCATGAGACTCATCAAGCTCTTTGACATCCCTCCAGGTGAGAAGATCATGGCCCTCTTATTAAAAGGCTCCATCTGAGGCAAAAACGTTCTCTAGATGCAGACGTTTTGTTTTGAAACTTCACGTCCCTGATTTGTCCAGTGTGATTGGTTGATGCCTCGGAGTCTTCCTATTCTTTCACTATTCATCTGTCTTTTCTGTCTATCTTGCTTATCATTGTTTTGCTGATGTAATTCTCCGTACTCAAATACATGCTTTTCCTAGCCTGTAGAATATAGATATCGTGTTAATGTGCATTTTCTTACTTAAAGTGAACAAATACTTTGAGAGAGCATTTTGCTTTTTGATAATTCATAGTTTTTCCAGGGGGGGGGTTCATGTGACAGGGCCACTTATGACCCAAAGTGCATACTTTGAGTCATACTCCAGTGCTGCTCATTTGTGGGGGAAGTTTGAGAGGTTTTAATCTTGACCAGATCCTTTCCATGTTTTTTGGGTCATGATTGAGTACTTTCCAAGAAGCTGAGAATGTTTTAGAATGTTTTCTCAGTGCCTAGAGCCCAGTTGGGGAGTGGGTGCTATAGAAATCCACTTTTTACTACATTAAGTCTATCAAGATGATAATAATTTGTAAAAGGCAAAGAACCTACTTACTTACTAGACTGTCTGCTCTTTCCCGATGTGTAGTAACATGACAGAAGTTGTCGTTATGTCAAACTCAGCTGTTTCAAGTAATAGGGCGAAACCTTGTATTTCTTTTAGAGCTGTATTTTACCGACTCCCTAGTTTCAAGTGAGTATAATTGTTAATCCAAAGCAGCTGGACTGACACTGCTCCCCCCCCCCCCCCGCCCATTGAGCAGATCTTTAATTTGGTTCCCATATCGTTATATGTGAGGGACAAAAAGAGTTACTTCTCGCATTGGCGAATGGAGATATTTGTTGAAAATTCATATGAGGTAAAATTTTTTAATTTTTAACCGCTGTCACTTTCTTCAATCGTGACATGTCTTCTATCATTTTATACTTATAATTAGTAAAAACACAACTTATAGATTTGACGTCTCTATTTCCATGGGGTTAAAAATCTGAGAAGGAACTTATTTTGTCAGCACACCTCACACATAGTCAAACTGCCAAACGTAGCTCTTTATGTATTGTTACTACACAAATAATAATGACAAAATTTGTGTGCTGTAAATTATAAGTGAAAGCTATTATTGTATGAGCAATTGCCAAAACGTGAGACTCTCTTGAGACTCAGTGGTTCCAAAATTTTTTTCTTACCAATTTGACTCCCTTTTCTGTCAGTCTCAGGTTGACATTTAGAGCTCATATTCCTAGAGTATCAGAGCAAGGAGATGTAGGGTTTTGGAGATATGGGTCTATTGGTTTGGCAACCACTGTATTTCTTGTATGTAACAGTGATGACAAAAACAGATAAGCAGCAAGGCAAATTATAGACTTTAAATTCGATTTGTTTAGTAAACAAACACTTTGTAGACTATGAACTCCATTCATAATGGTGATATGAATGACAAGCATTGTAACAGTGACGCAGTGCACAGAACATGTCATCATTGTTATGTACAAGAAAGGATACACATTGGACATTATCATTGACAACACATCACAATAGTGAAAGCGCTGTATAAATACAGTTATCAAAGCCTCAGCACCAGAAAAACACATGTGTAAAACAATTTTTTAACTAATATGAGGCAAAAGCACAAAATCAAGAGGGCTGACTTGGGCATAACATTGATGACAAACATGACTTGTACATAACAATGATGACACAATGTACAGGAAAAGACAAAGTCATGCCTCCAGAGAGAAATGCACACTTTAAGAATTTAAAAAAAAAACAGGAGAGGTTTCTTTTGCTTTGAAACAGATATCAGGTCATATCAAAGACAGTAGACAATCACAATTAGGTTGCTAATTATGACAAACAGTACTCGTACATAACAGTGATGACAAAACATACTGGGAAAAAGTAAAATCATGCCTACAAAGAACAAATTTGCACTGTGAGATACACAGATCAATAAAGACGTATTTTGTTTCTAAATGAATCTTGCATGTATGAAATATATGTTGAAAACTTATTGATATTAGCAATTATGAAAAATATTACTTGTACATAACAATGATGACACAATGACACAATGTATTGGAAAAAGGCATATCATGCCAACAAAGAACAAATGTGTACTTTTGAGTTAGACAGATAAACAAGGACATGTTTGTCTATTTGTTTGAGTAAAAAGAGCACACATGACTTAAAAAATGTTTGCTCTTAGGACAATGTAATTTCTAGTACGTCGGTCAGTCTTGTACGGCTGCATGACGACACCCCAAACGTCATCACTAAGCACAAAAGCTAAATCTATAACCACAGAAATGATCCATCTCTCGAAGTTTGTTCACACATCACACTCTTGTTCCAGGAATCTAATGTAAACACCACAATTTCACTAAAATATTCAATAGGGTAGCCTAAAAACACGCAAAACAGTCCAGTACGTCACATTCAACGCAAGATTCTTGTGCGTAACCGGAGGGTGACGGCAATGACTACTTTCGTTTTTCTCTTTACCCCGTTGCTCGCGCTGTTCTGGGGAAGGGGGTAAGGGGAAGTCACTCAAGAAAACAATTATATCCGGGCACTGTTGATGATCCATTCAAAACAAAAGTAGGCTAAAATTCGGACTTCCGGTACGTCGCAAAGTGACGCCATTAACGGCGAATGTTAAACAGCCGACCGAAATCGTAGATCTAGGAACCCGATGTTCCTTTCCCGCATCGCGGCTTTTGAACTATTGAATACACGACGAAAAGCAAAAAGATTTAACCAGCTGTGGTGATTCTACTGAAAAATAATGGTGTTTTCTGAAACACCTAGTCCGTGACGACACCACAGACGCACAAGTGATCCAAATTATTCGTTTATTTGCAAACAAATAAACCGATTTCTTGAGCAAGTGAACCTTTCTCGATCACAAATAGCATAGAATCAAAGCACAGGTTTAAAAAAAACACCCAAAAATACTAAATTTTGGACATTCTTGGAAGTTTGCATTGGTGTGCTCAAAATGACACTCCAGGAATCACTAAAAAACGAACATTTTTGGCACAAAATTTACAAACTCAAGATTATAAAGCTGACACTGGGTCTGAAACTGCTAATGCAGGTTCTACATCCTATATTTGACATGTGTATAAGTTTTGGAGGAATAAATACTAATGCATCACATTTTATGCACACTAATGTGAGATGTATGTGTTTTTCCCCACGTTTTGGCAATGGCTCATATATGACTTGTCAAAGATTTTATTTGACCCTCATGGTCTGTTTGTTTTTCAGAAACTTGTCCCAATATCACAGAGAACAGGGCAATGGGTGCAGTCCGCTATTTGCTCTATAAATACTACATTGAGGTGAGAATACTTGAAACATATGCCCATTGCTCAAATAGACCCTGCAATCCGCTTGATCGGATTGGATGGGGTTGGGAAATAGCACTGGCCAGTGCACACCATCGTATCAAATTAACCTCTGCCTTGCTTCGCTAAATATTGCCAAGTCTGATAGGATTGGATGATTTTTACAATGATCTCCATTAAATCAATGGGAAGGTAGATCGTTTAGAATAATAATAAAATGTCCGCTTGTAATTGCATTTCTTTTTCCTCTTTCTCTTTTCTGTGGATGGTTGGAGCGTGCCAGCACACTGGTGGGTCCTCCTTCTTTTCTTTCTGTCTTTTGTTTTGGACTATCTGTCTTTGTGTGTGGTTTGCTCTTTCTTTCCTATCAAACATCTATCGTCCTTATCTCCCATTCTTCTTTTTTATGTTTGTTACTCTCTTGTAACGCCTAATCTTCTGGCGCTCATATGACCTTATGCAGCTGCGCTCTCCCAGGAAAAGACTCACTTTTGTTGTGTTATATGCTTCTCTTTGCTCAAACCTACAAATGTGGGTGGTTGGCGGGGGCTCTGGTGTGGTTTGCTCCTTCTTTCATATCAAACATCTATCATCCTTATCTCCCCTTCTTCTTTTTTATGTTTGTTACTCTCTTGTAACACCTCTAATCTTCTGGCACTCATATGACCTTTTATGCAGTTGCGAGCGCCGTAAAACCTCTACTAAAACTAAAACTATCTGTCTTACCTCCTAAAGTCCCAGGAATAGACTCACTTTTGTTGTGTTATAATATGCTTCTCTTTGCTCAAACCAACAAATTGTCCCATCCACAGAAGTCCATGGCTCACAACAGCTGGGAGGATATGCTGGAGGTGAGTGTTTGTTGTGTAATGTGGTACTTTTGTTTAGTTTCTTTCTGTATTTTCTCAGTGCAGAGACATCACTTTATTTACTTATACATGTTCTCATAGTGAATGCTTGTCTGTTACAAATGAGTGAGATCATTACCACAGTTTTGCAAAAAAAGATACGAGATTAAGAAAAAGATACATTTTACTTACCTCCCCTACAGAAAAAATCCCAATTACAGGAAATAAAATAAAGGAAAATAAAATAGAATATGAGAAATAACTTTTAACAAATAAAGAAAATAAAATCAATGAAGAAATAAATAAATAACATAAATAAATACATTTTTTAAAAACGTATACTTTTATGGTCTCTTCGAACCCCCCCTCTTCCCCCAATAAATAAAATAACACATTTCACACAACCAAACAGAGTGCAGTGGGTGAGAATAAGAACCTGCAGCAACAGCTGGTCACGGAGCTGCTGGGCTACAACGACGTGATGGAGGCCTTGACCTGGGCCGACCGCTACCAGCTGGAGGACGAGAAGCTGGACCCCACAGTGCTGGAGGCCAGGCAGAGGCAGAGGTCAGTTATAAACTCCTTCATAGGTTCCCCCCCACACACACACTCCCTATCCCCTTCCGACAGAGGCAGTCATAGAGTTTTAGATCCCTTCATAGGTTTCCCCCCCCCCCCCCCCCCTTTCCGACAGAGGCAGAGGTCAGTTATAGACCCCTTCATAGGTTCCCCCCTCCCCTTCCGACAGAGGCAGAGGTCAGTCATAGAGTTATAAACTCCTTCATAGGACCTCCTACCACATCCAGACAGAGACAGGGGTCAGTTATATAGTTATTGACCCCTTCATAGGTTCTCCCTTCTTCCTTTGGACAGACACGGGTCAGTTATAGTCCCCCTCATCAGTTTTTTCCCCAGCCCCACCCCACCAAACAGAGGCAGAGATGAGTTATTGAGTTATAAACTCCTTCATAGGTTTCCCCTACCACCTACAGAAGCAGAGACAGGGGTCAGTCATAGAGTTATAGACCCATTCTTAAGTCCACTACCCACCCCCTACAGAGACAGAGGTTATAAACTCCTTCATAGGTTTCCCCAACCCCCTACAGAGGCAGAGGTTAGTTATAGACCCCTTAATAGTTTCCCCCTTCCTCCTTTGGACAGAAACAGGGGTCAGTTATAGAGTTATAAACCCATTCATAGGTTTCCCCTACCCCCTTACACAGGCAGAGGTCAGTTAAAGTCCCCTTCATAAGTCCACTACCCACCCCTTACAGAGGCAGAAGTAAGTTGTAGACACCTTCGTAGGTCTCCCCTCTACCACCTCCTGACAGAGACAGAGGTCAGTTATAGACCCCTTCATAGGTTCCCACCCCCACTCCCCCCCACTGACAGAGACAGAGGTTATAGACTCCTTCATAGGCCCCCTCCCCCACCCCTTGACAGAGACAGGGGTCAGTCATAGAGTTATAGACCCCTTCATAGGTTCCCTTTTCCACCCCTGGACTGAGACAAAGGTCAGTTATAGACCCCTTCATAGGTTTCCCCTACTACCTACACAGGCAGAGGTCAGTTATAGACACCTTCATAAGTCTCCCCCCCCTCCCCAACAGTGACAGAGGTCAGCTGTAGACCCCTTCATAGGTTCCCCCCTGCCACCTCCTGACAGAGACAGTTATAGTCCCTTTCATAGGTTTGCCCCAGCCCCACCCTCCGAACAGAGGCAGAGGTCAGTTATTGAGTTATTGACCCCTTCATAAGTCACCCCCCCCCCCCCCCCCGCCCCCTACATAGGCAGAGGTATGTTTCTAGGGCTGCCCAGCATTACGAATTTAGCGGAATCATAACCGTTTTTTTTCAGTTATCTGAAAATACGATCGTTACACCCTTGATTCCAGTTTTTCAAAATTTATTCGCCATTTTGCCACTCCAACCCAACCCCCACCCTTTCGAAGTATAAGAAGATAAACAATTCACCCCTAACACTCTCCAACTGTGCAGCGGTCTAACTTTAACTACTTCTGGGCGCTCAAATCCCTTGTAGTCGCTCAGTGCTGCTTTGCCCTCCGAAAACTTTAACCCTTTGAGCCCTGACCTCCTGAGGCTACCGTAACCCCCCCTCCAACTGAGCTCCTGAGTGATTCAATCCTTAGTGATTCACGCCTTTGTTCATATCATCGTCAGAATTACATTCCATATCCCACTTTGGTCGGTCCTTGTCATTACCAGCATCTAATTCAGAAAGATCTTCAAAATAATCAGTAATGTCCTATGTAGTAAACACTGCTTTCCATCATGCACGTTTTGTCCCAGACAGGGTGGTATGTGGATAGGGTCTCGCTCACTGATGTACCCGTGGTTAGACATACGGGCAATTTTACGTGCCACTGGCAAGGGCTCAAAGGGTTAATTTGCTGTCTTGGATAGTTTTAGCTGTATATATGGTCAGTGAGACAAGCAATCCACTTATGTCAATTTGGGTACGTTTTATGTCGGAGACAAAAAAACTAGTTTTTGTTGTGGTTTTCCTATCAGGAATCATGAAAAACAAGAAAATTGTGGGCCTCGACCATACATTAAAAACTGCATTTTGGTGATTTTGAAATGTGCCTCTTAAATAGATCTTTGAGAGGGTGTAAAAATCAAACATTCTCAAAATTTGGGTTTAAGTGGATTGCTTGTGACAGTGACAATATTATTTTCTGATCCCTCACTTCCACCCTCCTCTCCTCCCCCCAGGGAAGCGGAGGTGAGGCTGTCCTCCGGCCCACCCGTACAGCCGGACCACGGGTTCGTCGCGGAGGAGGACTGGGACGCTGAGATAGCCGCTGAGGGCCCGGCCAAGCCCTTCTCCATCCACTACATGTTGCCGCTGCCGGAGCACTACGTTTCCATGGTAACCACCAGGGAGGAGCTGGAGGTGTGCCTCGACAGGATTCGGAAGGTGAGTGCTTGTTCTGACCTTTGACTTTGTTGTGTGTATGATTTGATTTGAGATGTGTGCTAACAGCGACTGCGTGTGAAATGTTGCCGTGACTTGTTATACGTTTGATATACCTGGCTCTTATGGTGTCAAAATTGTGTGTTTGATGTGTGTGTGTGTGAGAGAGAGAAAGAGAGAGAGAGAGAGGGAGGGAGAGGGAGAGAGAGAGAGTTTTTTTGTTGTAATGTAGGTGTTTTGATGCCCCCTGTCAACACACTTTAGATCGTTTGAGAGGTAGGCTTGGACCCTGCCAATCAGGGCCAACTGTGGCTGAGAGCATCTGAGCAGCAGGGAAAGGAGATGTGACCCATGTTTGCTGATGTCCATTTGAGATACAACTCATATAGAAGTCAAAGAAAAGAAAAACAATTTATTTGTCTCAGTGTAAATGTGAAATCAATTCCACAAAACTACTTCTGAAAATGTAAACTTTGGTGAAATTACCCCCATTCTCACTTTTCCCCTACTTTTGTCAGCCATTCACAACAATCGGTATTGACGCGGAGTGGAAGCCGGCCATGGGTCGCGCCACCCAACAGGTGGCGCTGCTGCAGCTGGCGGTGGAGGAGCGGGTGTTCCTGCTGGACTGCGTGGCTCTACGGACACAGCTGGTAGACGCTGAGTGGGCTCAGCTGGCCGCCACCATCTTCTGTGATAAGAAAGTCATTAAACTGGGTATGTTCGACAGACTTTGTGTGTGTGTGGTTGGAGTCATTAAACTGGGTATGTATGACTGACTTTGTGGGTGTGTGTATAAGGGCGGGGGGGTGTGGGGGGGTGGATTGTAGTCATTTAACTGGGATTGTAGTCATTTAACTAGGTCTGTGTGTGTGTGGGGGGGGAGGAGGGGGGGTTGGAGGGCATTACTGGTAGATCCTGCTTTATTGATTTCCTTCTATGGTGCCTGCCTGCCAGCCTGCCTGCCTGCTTGTCTGTCTGTCTGTCTGTCTGTCTGTCTGTCTGATTGTCTGTCCGTCCGTCCGTCCGTCCGTCCGTCCGTCCGTCCGTCCGTCTTTTTCTTAGTGCTAAAAAACTGTTATAGTGTCGATGTGCTTAATTTTACTCAAACTCACAAGGTTTGGAGTTGAGCTGGCTGCTTGTAAGATTTACTTTGTGGTTTGTTACTGACAGAGAGGTAGACAAAAAATAACTGGTAATAGTGAAATTTCAAGAGCTGCTGATTTTCTGGATAAATTAGGAAATTTGGACTTCTGATTCTTTCTTCAGATACTTTGATTGAGTGAATTATTTTTTTTTTGTCTTATGTTACTTAGTCCTGCGTATACATTTACATGTTATTTATGTCTTAATCTCTTTGTGCTTGTCATATTGCACTGTATATAACAACACTGCCGCAAGCTGGCGAAGCGCCTTTTTTCATTTTGGAGCCAACATTTTTTATTTGTTAAATGGAAAGCCTGATCAGTTACCCTACTTGTGCGAAAAAATCAAAGTGAAACTGACTAGTTTTTAAAATAAATTAGAATTTAATTTTCGGAATCACTCTATTTTTAAATGGTTATGCTGACAAAAAAAACTCTTTTTCTCGAAACTGCTTTGAAGAAAAAAAGGCGTTTTTTCAGCTTATGCACAGCAAAATTGTCTTGATACAAGATGTATGAAGCAATATGATCTGTAAATTGTTAGTCCCTGCATGTGTGTTACCATGAGGTTTAGAGAGATTCAGGTTTTTTGTTTTTGTTCGTAGTCAATTGGTACCTCAGATATTTAGAAATGTTTCTTCTTGCAGGGTTTGGTCTTGACACAGATCTACGAATGTTGACTAAATCTTTCCCTGCCATGGAAGATTCTATACTCAGGATGGCCAGAGTTATTGATCTGGAGAAACTGGCCAGAAAGGTGAGTTGTGATAATGATTTATGTGTTATTCCCAATGTCACTGCAGAAATGTGGTTGGTTGGTGGGTGCTGTGTTGTGGTTTGCTCCCTCTTTCCCATCAAACATCTATCGTCCTGATCTTTCCTTCATTTTTATATTTGGTACTCTCTTGTAACACATTTATTCTAATCTTCGGCACTTATACGACCCTAAGTGTTGTAAAACTCTAACTAAAGCTAACACTGTTGAAATGTGGTTTTACAGAACACTGCTTTGGGTCAAAGGAAGGGGATTAATTTTTGTTGTGCTTTCACTTTATTTGTGGTAGTTATGTTTTAGTTTAGTTTCAGTTAGAGTTTTAAGGCACTTGCAACACTGTAAGGTCATATGAGTGCCGGAGAGAATAGATATGTTACAAGAGAGTTACATACTCAAAAAAGAAAGAGGAGAGATAAGGATGGTAGATATTTGATAGGAAAGAAGGAGCAAACCACAGGTGAGTTCTCCCCAACCACCCACATAGTCATGTTTGTTTTTTTGTCAGGGTAAAGTGTTTAATAATCCTTGGCATGTGTCTGGTTGTCTGGTTGAGCTCCCCTGCCCCTCCCTTCCCCCCCTTCAGAAATAAAATGTTAAGAGATTTGGAGGGCACTGTTGGTGGGTCGTACTTCTTTTCTTTCCCTCTGCAGTTTCTGTCTGCCTGTCTGCCCGTTTCCCACCATTAATTGCATTTCTTGTATTGATGGATGTGCTTCTCTTTACTGTTACTCAAGCTTACACCTCCCCCCCCCTCTCCCTCTCTCGCTTCTCCCCCACCCCCCTCTAAAAAAAAGTAAGGTTTTTTTCTTCAAATGCCAGGTCTAAAATACACAATGATGGTTATGGTTTACCAGTCATTTCTCTGTTTGGTTGCTGTATAGAAAAACAGCAGTGTCATCCTGTTTTTACTTGTCACCCGTCTCTTTAAATTTGTTACTCAAATATTCTTGGTCTACCTGAGCGTCTTTTGTCCTGTACTGATACAATGACAGTAAATGTTTATATTAACAAGAACTGGGCAGTAAAGGGAGTTTTGAGGTTTTGAGATAGATGTGTTGATGTCTTTCTGTATTGTGTCTGTATCCAGGTGTTGCAGGATTATGACTGTAGTCTGATGGACATGTCCAAGTTTGGGAAAGCTGGGGAACTTGTCGACAATTCTTCAGGTGAGACTGATAGACATTCTCTAAACGCATGTGTGACTGGTAGTTTTTCTCTAAACACAGGTGAGGCTGGAAGTTTTGTCTAAACGCAGGTGAGACTGATAATTTTTTTTTCAACACATGTGAGACTAAGGGCTTTAGCTGGTAAATTTCGTCATAATGCAGGAGAGCTAGGAGATTTTAACTGGTAATTTTTGTCTTGACACAGGTAAGGCTGGAAGTTTTAGTCAGTAATTTTTATCTCAACATGGGTGAGACTGGAGTTTTTAGCTGGTAAATTTAGTCTTAATGCAGGTGATATAGGTGCTGTTATCTGGTGATTTTTGTCTTAACAGTATTGAGCCATGAGGATTTAGCAGGTGATTTTAGTCTCTACACATAGTGTGGAAAAAAGCGTAAGGGGTGAAGTGGGAAATGATCTTTTTTTTTCTGGTAAGTGTTTTTACGGCGCTCGCAACTGCACTAAGTCATATGAATGCGCAGGAAGTATTTGTTTGTACAGGTGGTTGTCTTGGGAAGGTGGCTGTTACAGCGAGTTTGGCTGTAGTTGGTCATAATTAGTGCCTTCGTATATGGTCGCTTTTAAGGACAAGTGGGCTAACCAAGATTTTGGGGGTTTCTAGAAATCTTGACCTACACCAAAAGTCCACATTGCCCTACCTATAGCAGAAGTTTGGTTTCATTGGTGTGTATATTTGTTTGGGTATAGAGAAAACTCTCCTTGCCTTTTAAAGAAACTGAACAAGGAGCAAAAACTTTACCTTCGATTTTCTCAAAACAGCGTTTTTCGGGGTAGCCCCCTTGTGCTTGAAAGCGACCATAATATTTTCCATTATTTTTTGCAGGAAAAGCAAAAGCAGGTCCGTCCAAAGACCGGCGTGTGCCGGCCACCATAGTCTACAAACGTGAGGAGAAGGGGCTCAGTCTGTTGGCCATGAAGACGCTGGGCAAACCGTTGAGCAAAGCCGAGCAGATGTCCAACTGGGAGAAGAGGCCGCTACGCCAGTCGCAGATACACTACGCAGGTACGTGGAGGCCAGTTACTGGAGATATATGTGTCACGGCGCGATGGAATCATGCCCTCGTCAATTTTTGAGCATGCAGGGTTATTGCTATCATCTTTAAGCCTGTTCATTTACCTGGCTTTCGGCGGGAAAAAAATATCCGTTTATCTTGAATAGAAGTCGAGATCTTTGCGATTGAAGGAAGTGGGGGTCGCCTGGTTTCTGTGGTGAAATTAGGGAGAAATTGGCATGAAAGAAAGAATGCTGGACAGTTACTAAAGATGATTAAAATATACTAAAAGCAAAAGAAATGTAGAATTTCTGGAATGGAAAAGAAACCAAATGAAGTAGTGCTGAGAAAAGCCAGCTTGGGCCATTCACTGATGAAAGCAAGTTGTAAGAGACAAATGCAGTTTCTACGATACTTAAATTGACGTCCTTGTTCTCACTGTAAAAATAGAAGGCAAAAGAGGCGGATGTAGATCGAGAACTTAAACAGCTGAGTGATGTGAGAGGTCCAGGATAATATAGTTTTTGTTTTTTTTTCGAGCATCTGAGAAGAGAAATGAGTAATAAGCCATGATTGTCAATTTCGTTATAGGTCTTTCCCTTGATGATGATGATGATGATGATGATGATGATGATGATAATAATAATTGTGTGTAGGTTAGCTGTGCTGTTATCTAATTGAATTGGTTAAAATGATCTATTGTGTGTATGTCAACGAGCTGTGCTGTTTTGCTAATTGGTTGATGAAATGTGTTTTCTACACTATAAGTAGGTCAACTGTTCTTTTATGCTAATTAGTTGAGATAATGTATTGTGTGTATGTGTAGGTATGTGGTGTTATGCTAATTTCAACATTTTTACTAGGCTTTTGAGGGACTATCTCACAGATGCTGCTGGAAAGTTTACAAAAGTACCACTAGCATTTTTTTTTTCTTTAAAGAATGTTTCTGCATTTATAGTTTGGGTCCTGCTTGATGTAAATCGGTAATTTCAAAGGTGTGACTTCTGTTTGACTTGAGACTGAACTGCAAGCAGCTTTTGTTATGGGGCACATAAAGGACAATGGAAAACTGTTGCTCCTCCCTGCAGAAGTCTTACTTCTTTCAGTGACATTTTAAAAAGTGCCTCTGGACCAGAATGTGGGTGGTTGGAGGGTGCCCTGGTGTAGTTTGCTCCTTCTTTCCTAGCAAACGTCTTTCGTCCTGATCTCTCTTCCTTCTTTTTTGAATTTGTTACTCTCTTGTAACCTGTCTTACCTTCGGCACTTATATGACCTTATTGTGTTGCAAGTGCCGTAAAACTCTTATTACAACTAAAACAAGGGCCAGAACAATCCCCTGGTTTTGTTGTTTCTGGCATCATGCAGGTTTTCTGGTTGATTAGTTCCACCCTCCCTTCATTGTCTCATAT